CTCATTAGTCCAAACCTTTGCCATCACAAGGCTCATTAGTCCAAACCCTTGCCATCACAAGGCTCATTAGTCCAAACCCTTGCCATCACAAGGCTCATAGAGTCCAAACCCTTGCCATCACAAGGCTCATAGAGTCCAAACCCTTGCCATCACAAGGCTCATTAGTCCAAACCTTTGCCATCACAAGGCTCATTAGTCCAAACCTTTGCCATCACAAGGCTCATTAGTCCAAACCCTTGCCATCACAAGGCTCATTAGTCCAAACCCTTGCCATCACAAGGCTCATAGAGTCCAAACCCTTGCCATCACAAGGCTCATAGAGTCCAAACCCTTGCCATCACAAGGCTCATTAGTCCAAACCCTTGCCATCACAAGGCTCATAGAGTCCAAACCCTTGCCATCACAAGGCTCATTAGTCCAAACCCTTGCCATCACAAGGCTCATTAGTCCAAACCCTTGCCATCACAAGGCTCATAGAGTCCAAACCCTTGCCATCACAAGGCTCATTAGTCCAAACCCTTGCCATCACAAGGCTCATTAGTCCAAACCCTTGCCATCACAAGGCTCATAGAGTCCAAACCCTTGCCATCACAAGGCTCATTAGTCCAAACCCTTGCCATCACAAGGCTCATTAGTCCAAACCCTTGCCATCACAAGGCTCATAGAGTCCAAACCCTTGCCATCACAAGGCTCATTAGTCCAAACCCTTGCCATCACAAGGCTCATTAGTCCAAACCCTTGCCATCACAAGGCTCATTAGTCCAAACCCTTGCCATCACAAGGCTCATAGAGTCCAAACCCTTGCCATCACAAGGCTCATTAGTCCAAACCCTTGCCATCACAAGGCTCATTAGTCCAAACCCTTGCCATCACAAGGCTCATTAGTCCAAACCCTTGCCATCAAAGGCAAAGGCATTTTGGGGAAAAGTCAAGGAAACTGGGAGGGGTGAACATGGCCGTTTGGCGAGATGTGATGGCAAAGTGTTAATAGAAGAGATTCTGCAACGCTCAAAGCACCTCATTGTCATTGTTTTGTTCTGAGCTTGATATTTGTCCAGTAGAAATTGCTTTGTGTACATAATGTGCCACGACGCAGTGGAATCAGGCGCTCGTCAAATTTTGGGCATATGGAGTTATTGGTGTCATCTAAAAGCTTGTTCATTTGCCTCGCTTTTGATGAAAAAAATATCCGTTTATCTTGAATAGAAGTGGAGATATTTGTGATTGAAGGAGGTCAGGGTCGCCTGGTTTCAGAAGTAAAATTAGTGAGAAAATGGCCATCAAAGTTTTGTAACTTCAATAG